TGCTTTCGTTTAGGGTCAGGTTAGGAAGTCTTCCCTTGGCCATATGACAGTCAGTCGTTCAGTCAGTTCAGTCATTCAGTCATCAGTCCTATCTGACTCTTTGCCATCTCAGTTGTGTCTGACTCTTTGTGACCCCAAAGTACATGCATGTGTAATTTGTATTTCAGGGACGGCTGACGTTCCACGATGTGGCCATAGACTTCACTCAAGAGGAGTGGGAATGCCTGGACCTCGGTCAGCGGGAATTGTACAGGGATGTGATGTTAGAGAACTACGGGACCCTGGCCTCCTTGGGTGAGGACAACTGCCTTCCAGAATCCCTTTTCCCCCACTGGGTTTGGTTCCTGCATTTCTAGAATGTCTCCTGGAATTTTCTGCTTCCAGCAATACCTTCAGATCCCTGCTTTCTAGCAGGAAATGGGTATTTGTGAGTTTAGAAAGAAAGCCTTCAATGGTGATTCAGTACAATTCTAACCTTTTTCTTTCCTGATGTAATCTGACTCCTTCACTCTAGCGTGGTGGTGATTGAATCAGTTCCATGGTATTAAATAGTGACATCTTCCTCTTAAAATCACATTTACACTACTTACTTTCACCTTGTAGTACTTGACAAGAATCTCAGGATCTGATTTTTATGTATTTGTTAATGTTGTAAGGGTGCTTTCAATAAAGTATTTGGGGAAATCATCCTCTAGGTTGTATTAACATTCACCCATGTGTTCTCTTCTCGCTCAAATACATATTGGGTTGGACACTTATGAATCTCTAGCAAAACAAATCTTCCTTTCTCTGATGAACAGGTCTTGTGGTCTCTAAGCCGGACCTGGTCACCTTTCTGGAGCAAATGAAGAATCCCTGGGATGTAAGGAGAACGGACACAACAGCCACATATCCAGGTAGGTGTGAATGGATGGAACTGATGACTCAGGTGAGAGGTCCAAGGTGCAGTGAGGAAGTCAGCCTTTGTCCTGTGGCTTGGGAAGACAGGCTCCAGTGAAAATGATTTTGGAGAACTCTGGGTTAATTTCTGTTGCTGTCATAGATGGACATTGCCTGGCTCATTCTGCCTCTCAATCATTCATGAATCAGCTCCATGATTTCTTTTCTCATCCACATTGAGAATTCAAATTCTTTTCTTGGCTTGTGACAACTTGTATGAGCTGGCTGCTCTTTCATTTCTTCGGGGTCCTAGGAAAACTGCCCATTGATGAGTAAATACAAGATGCTCTTTTTAAAGTTTGTTTCTACCTCTAGAAAGTGTGTGAGTGGAATTTTAAACAAACTACCTATATTCTAGGAATACTGGAGACAGAATTTTTTTTCTGATTTATATTTTCTAAAACACTGGAATCTATAAATATGACCTTATAAATTTTAAACTCATTTCAATGTATAAAGCAAAACCTCCATAAAATGAGAGAATGCAATTTTCTGAGTTATACCAATGTTTCACTTTTCTTTATGTGAACTCATTTTAAATATCTGAAGTGTATTTGCCACAATTCCTCAATTGTAAAATACTTTAATGTATTCAATTAACTCAAAGATTTTTTAAATAAATTGGCAAAATAGTTTAGAACATTTTCAACCATATTTCTAATGGTTGTTTGAAACTTTTAACATTTTAGATCATATAAAGAAGTCCTTTTAAGTCCTTTAAATCCTTATTGGATTTAAGTCCTTATTGTTTTACAATGTTGTGCTCTTGTACAGCAAAGAGAATGATGTATACGTATAAATATCCACTCTTTGTTAGAGTTCCTTCCGTTTGGCTCTCAACAGGGAACTGAGTAGAGTTCTCTGTGATCCCAACACATTTTTTCTTTTCTTTTCTTTCTTTTTTTACAGACCCATCCCCTCACATATTTATTTTTTCTTTTAGTCAGAACACAAGTTCCAGCATATTTTTTTTAAATCTCACTTCTTATTTAATTGCTTAAGAGTTTATTATCTTGTTTCTTATGAGCTGCCCCAGACTTTACTAATTTATCTCATTTGTTATGTTTCCAATGACCCTCAGTTTCTAATTAGTTGTATGTCAATATCATTTATTATTTTAGATAAAAACATCTAATAGAATGTGTTCCAATAGAACACAAGTGGTAGGAAGTGGATTAAAGAATTTGAAGACAGCTGGTATTTCTGAAAATGTTTGGTGTCTCCATTTAAGACGACTTAGGGGAAAAGGTAATCATCAGACTGCAAGTCTGCGCTTCATTTAGTGGTTCTTGTAGCTTATTATTTTGCCCCTTCCTCTGCTCCATACTCATTGTCCTCTGGTTTTATTACATTTTCTGTGTTTGTGGTCTCTGTCCTGAAGGCTGCAGGATCCCAGCTCCTCTTGTTTCTTGTGCCTGCCCCTAGGGGCTCAGTTTGGTCCTGAGGTTTGTGCCCTGATCCCCTGGATGGGCACTTAATTGCTGTGACCTGAGCCTGCCCTGGATATTGAGGGGAGCTTCCCCATCGCTGTGTGGCTGTCACCGCCCTGTCTGTGGTGGGTCTGCGCCCTGGTTGGTGGAACAGAGCTCCCAGATCTGTTTCTTCACTGTGATCCTGATCTGTGTGGAGGCAGGTGGGATTGGAGCACACTCCCGGGAGAGAAGCCCCTGAGGATTGCTGCTCTGGGGATGTTCCCCTTGGGATGTGCTCTGTGCGTCACTTTCACCCACTGGGTGAGTCTCATGTGACCCTGGTTGGCACTGATCTTGGCCCCACCTCACCCATGGGTATGCTGGCACACGGCCCTGGGGTTTCTCCGATGTTGGTTTCCCCGGGTCACCAGCATAGATTCCTTGAACTCAGGGCCTCGGTCCCAGGTGCTGTGGAGCTGTGGGAGCAACTCAGACTCCGGCCTGGCCACGTCCCCTCGTTACGAGCCCACAAAGTCTCCAGTTGCTAAACCACACCTGCTGTGACTGGGGCGGCCCCCTTGTCCTTCAGATGCTCTGCAGGGGCTGAGCTGACAAAGCCGGTTGCCTGTGTAAAAGCATGGTTAGTGCAGCTGAGAGCAGAGACCTCAGCTTTGCTTCCTCAACCCTGGGGCTCAGCTGTGCTTTCAGCTCCATCTGAGCATGTGGCCCACCCACAGGTGTCTGCTCCAGAGGCTGCCCCAGAGCACAGGGGTCTGCTGACGGTGGAGGAGGGGCATGGGGGAGGCCGTGGCTGGGCCTCAATAGAGCCCACCCGGGTGGCAGCCCTTCCTACTGCCAGGGATGAGGGGCTAGCACAGGGGGAGAGAGGCTGCGGTGGGGTTCTTCCCTTTGGGCCTCACTCAACAATGGCGCTCTGCGCTTTGGTGGTGCAGGCTTCCTCCACAAGCTTCCCATTTGCAGAGCTCCTCCCTCCCTTCCATCCCCTCAGGATGTCTCCTCGTGGCCAACAGCAGTCTTCTGCCTGGGTCTGCTCTCCAAAGCCCACGTTCCAGCACCCAGCCCGTGTCTGCAGTGGTGGACACCCTTGAGGTGGACACCCTCTCAGGCTGGGTGGGCAGGGCAGGGCTCAGCACCCCATCTGCAGCTCTCACTGTCCTGCTGCCACACGCGGGTTGCCATGTTCTCTTCCACAGAGAATGAGGCTCTCCTCCTGTCCAAACTGGGCTCTCCCAGTGAGGGGCTCCCCCAGATGTGGACACCTCTTCGCTCTTCAGATCCGCCCAAGTTTACAGGTCCCATCCCAGTTCCTCTCCTCTTCCTTCTCTTTCTTCTTTTTTGGTCCTACCTGGCTCAGCAGGAATCTTTCTTATCCTTTTAGGTGGTGTAGGTTCTTTGCTAGTGTTCAGAGGGGGCTCTGTGAGAATTATTCTAATTCTGATGTATTCCTGATGCATTTGTGGAGAGAGATGAACTCCAATCTGCCTAATCCTCAGGCATCTTGATCCTTGGTTCCCCATTTTCTCTAAATCTTCAAGGATATTCACTGAGAATAATAGATAAGAAAGCTTCTATTTTATATCTTTCAGCTGTGTCTTCTCACAACACCCATGGTTTGATGTCAAAGACTCCAAGGTTTGAAAATTTAATCCGAACAGCAAACTTAGGACTATATGAAAGAGCTCACTTTGGAAATGACCATTTAACCAAAGCCTGGGGATGCACAAGGGTATGTGACAGACTGAGAGGATGTGTATATGGACAACATAAAGAAATTGAGACCGTTTCACATACTGTGGACATGACTGCCAGAAGAAATGAGCACTGTGAGTCAAATTGGGGAAAGGACCCGTTTCAGTCATCACCATCTGCCACGCAGAGTATCTTTGTAAGCAATCATGTACGTCAGTTTTTGAAACACACACGTTCTCTGAGGGGAAATGTGGAAAATCTGGAAGGTCATCCAGTCTCTACTCCAATTGTTCGTTCAAACCACTCTGAACATAGACTTCGATTACACATACATTCAACCACATCTGAAAAGGAGAAGTTTACATATGATGGGGAAAACTCACAATATAATCAACTTGAGGGGTCTGTGAGCAACGGGTCATTATTCTTCCACCAACAGACAGGTTCTCTCCAATCCAAAATGTGTAATGTTGATAATAATGGAAGAGACTTAATTCAGCCATCACTGTTTGATACATATCATGATAGGGTTAATATAAAACAACTTTTCATGTGTAATAACACAAGTCAGGCCTTAAGTAGGAGCTCCAACCCCAATAGTTACCAGAGTATTTATGATGGAGCAAGAAACTGTTCATGCAATGAGAGTGGATATAACATTGAACAAGACTTTGATCTTAGGAAACATCAGGCTCCTCAATCTTCAGATAAGGATTCTAAAAGTAATACATGTAGGAATATCTTTTATCGAGCATCAGGTCATTCACTAAATAAGAGTACACATACTGGAGAGAAGACTTACAATTGTAGTGAATATGATGTGTCTAATCAGGCTTCAGAAGTTATTGCACAGCAGAGTATTCAGAATCCACAGAAAAAGTACAAGTGTAAGAAATGTGAGAAAGTCTTTACTAATGCACTCAATCTACATAAACATAGGGCAGTTCATACAGGATGGAATACTTTCAAATGTACAGAATGTGACAAAGCGTTTAATCAGAGTTCAAAACTTAGTCAACATCTGCGAATCCATATTGGCCAGAAGTCTTATAAATGTAAGGAATGTGGCAAAGGCTTTAGCCAGCACTCAAGTCTTACTCACCATCAGAGAGTCCATACACAGGAGAAGTCTTCTAAATGTAAGGATTGTGGCAAAGCCTTTAAACAGTGCTCATGTCTTCATAAACATCAGGTAATTCATGCTGGAGAGAAACCTTACAAATGTCAAGAATGTGGAAAAGCTTTCAGTCAATACGCAACTCTTATTCAACACCAGCGAATTCATAGTGATGAGAAGCCTTATAAATGTAAGGATTGTGGCAAAGGCTTTATTCAACGCAGAGGGCTTACTTGCCATCAGAGAATTCACACTGGAGAGAAACCTTATAAATGTCAAGAATGTGGAAAAGCTTTCAGTCAATATGCAACTCGTAATAAACACCAGAGAATTCATACTGGAGAGAAGCCGTATAAATGTAAGGATTGTGGCAAAGGCTTTAGCCAGGGCTCAGGCCTTATGTACCATAAGAGAGTTCACACTGGAGAGAAGCCTTATAAATGTAAGGATTGTGGTAAAGACTTCAGCCAGCTCTCAGGTCTTACTTGCCATCAGAGAACTCACACTGGAGAGAAACCTTATAAATGTCAAGAATGTGGAAAAGCTTTCAGTCAATGCTCTACTCTTAGTCAACACCAGAGAATTCATACTGGAGAGAAGCCTTTTAAATGTAAAGATTGTGGCAAAGACTTTAGGCGCTGCGCAGGTCTTATTCGCCATCAGAGAATTCACACTGGAGAGAAACCTTATAAATGTAAAGAATGAGGAAAAGCTTTCAGTCACAATGCAACTCTTACTAAACATGAGGGAATTCATACTGAAGAGGAACCTTAAAAATGTAAGGATTATGACAAAGACTTTAACCCAGCACATTGGTCTTACTTACCATCAGGTAATTCATACTAAAGGAAATCTCATAAATGTAAGGAAACCTGCAAAGGCTTTAATCAGAGCTCTCACCTCACTGGACATCAGAGAGCATGTACTGGAGGGAAACCCTAGTAATGAAGTAAGTGATGCAAGAGGATTGTCCTGAACATACAGTTCAGGAAACCCAAGACTGTTTACATAAGAAAGATACGGAATGACATAAAGAAAATGTAAATAAGTATTTACAAAAAATCAAATCTAAATAAATATCAGGAAATGCATACTAGAAAGCATTTCATAAATCCTGTTTTCTGACGTTCCTCTTAGGGAGAAATATTGTAGATAGTGATTCATAGTTAAAATAGACAGAAAATTGATATGTTAGTATGGATCACAAGATGAAGAGGTGATGTTTAGCCATGTACAGTTACTAGCTATGTATGTTTGTTTATGTTGACATGATTTGTGATTATTTGAAAACCAAATGAATGTAACTGAATTCTCAAATTACTCCATGCCACACTTCATTTCTAGCGTGCATGCAAAGTTATGTTTTTGATGGTTGCTACTTCAAAGATGAGAGAAGCCCTTCTATCTAGGAAGAAAACATTTATAATTTTCTCCATTAGAAGATTAAGGACACAGTAATGTAATATGTACAGTGAACATCTAAATGGTGGTGTTTGTCATTCATGTCACACATCCCTATAAGTCACCGTGATGTAAGTGTTCAGGGAATAATTCCACAGATTAAAGTAAGATGTACATTTTCAATAGTTACATCACTTGTTTTTTTTTTTTTTTGGTCACTTGCTTTTAAAGTAAAGTACAGAGACAGTTCACTAAAATCTTGATGTATTTTATAATATCAACAGAAGTCATGAATATCAGTAGCCATGTTTCAATTAAAGACATCTCTGCTACCCTAAAAATGTATGGAAAACCCTTCCCAGAAATGTCATGTAATTTGTGTATGTCATCTTAAATGATTAGCCTCCCTTTTGTAACCATAGAAATCACAGTTCTCAGATCATTGTATCACAGGAAAGAATATCATTCCTTATGCTTATAATGTGTATTTTAACCAAAGTTACATAGTGGAGTGTAAAAGGTTTTATTCTGTGTGTGATAAGCATACAATGTTAAAGAATAAAACTGAATGGTTTCTTGTGTAAATGTTGGTGTGTAATGAATGAAGTGCTAGCCTAGCAATTTAACATTGCAGGAAAGAATACCTAACAAGAAACTTTTCAGTAGCAGAGAAGGGTGAAGGCTGTAACAAATAGTTTCCTTCCTGCCCTTAAGTTTCAAATCATTTGATCATGTATTTCCCATCATTTCTCCATTGTACTTTTCCCCCTCTCTGTAACTGCAGGGACATTGTGACGGTTCTAATAAGAAGGATCATACAGAGTACTGTTTAGAGCTCCCCTAAACTGCTCCATGCTGTTGCTGCCTCAGCATCTGTCTGGGGAGCAGGCAGCCTGCAGGTCCTTGAACTCACACCAGCCAGTCCTGTGAGCACCTGCCCTAGATGACCCCCTTCCTTGAGACCAGCAGGCTTGCTGAACCCCAGGGCCTATTCACAGGCTCCCCTTCAATGCCACTGTCACAGAGCCACAAAATCCTAGTCCTTTTGGTCTGAATGGACCCGTCAACACTCAGCCTGGGGAGCCCACAGCACTTCACCCAGGGCCTCTTATGAAAACCTGAACTCCAGTTATTGCCTCTTTGTCTGCTCACTTCTATCCTTGACCTCACTCAGAGCTTGCTGTGAATTCTCTCAGGACCTAGAGTCATGAACTCAGCTGCTTCAGTTGTCCTTTGTTCTTCTATTGAGCTATGTAAGACTTTTCATGGGCTCATTTAAGGAAATGTAAATTGAATATTTGTCACAAGAATACTAAAAAGTCATGATGGTAAAATTCTGAACTAAGATTTGTAAAATCTAACCCTGTTTCTTAGCATATGTTTTTGTAAGGCTTAAAGGAACTGTTTTCTCATGGCTATGAAATACACAATGCAATAATATAAATATCTGAAAGTATATATATTATATAATTTATATAACATACAGTGAACACAATAAATAAATATCTGAAGGTATAAACACTAGCAGTGAGAAATACAAGGAACATGTGGGTGGGTGTGTATTAGTACATATTTACTTAGAAAACTGAGGAATGCTAGACCACAACTGCTCATTTCAGAATTGCAGATGATTCACTAAAAACTGCAAATCTTATAAATTTGCCAACTAATCTATTTTGTGTACTATTCTGGGAATTCATTTCCTTAAATGTCAGGAGGTTACATTTTTTAAGGAACTTCCACACTGTCCTCCCACGTGACTACAGCAGCTTACATTTCCTCCACCCATTCAGGAGGTTCCCTGATCTCCAAGCCTCTTCAGCGTTTATGATATTATTAGGGGGCTTTTTGCTATTCTGACTGGCATGAGGTGATGCATCACTGTAGTTTTGTTCTGCATTTCTTAACTATTTAGCGATGGTGAACAACTTTGTTTTGCGTCTTGCCCATCGAAAAGAACAAGCTGTCCCAACCAGCCTCAGCCGCTGTGGGGACACAGGCATGGTGTCCCCACAGCACGTGGAGAATTCCTGGACCAGGGATGATGCCCGAGGGCCCTACACTGTCAGGGGGATTCTTAAGAACAGGGTTATCATTCTGTTTGTTTTTCTTTTGAGATGTATATATATGTAAACTGGAATGTTTTCCTTTACAGTGTTGTGTTAGATTCTGCTGTGAAACTTCATCAATCAGCCATAGGTATATGTATACCCACTCTCTCTTGAAACTCCCTCCCACAATCTCCGTCTCACCCCTCTGGCCATCACAGAGCCCTGTGCTGAGCTCTCTGTGCTATAGAGCAGCTTCCCACTTGCTACATATTTTGCATATTGTGGTCAATATATATCAAGGCTCTTCTCTCATTCTCCCACTGTGTCCACAGGTCTAATCTCTATATTTGTGAAAATATGGTATTAACATATACATATATATATGTAATCTACAAAATATTATTGATGATCCTATATAAAGAGCAGGACTAGAGTTGCAGACATAGATATTAAGCTTTTTTATATTAAGCTTTCAAGGTATAAAATACATGGACAATCATTCCATGCATTTTACAAAGTGAAAGAAGCCCGTCTGAAAATGTCACAAAAAGTCGGATTTTTACAACCTGGCATTGTGGTGTAGGTGAATGTTCTCATGTGCTCCATTGTGTCTGAGTCTTTGGACCCAGTGGACTGTGCCTGCCAGGTTCCTCTGTCCATGAGATTTCCCAGGAAAGAACACTGAGTGGGTGGCCATTTCCTCTTTCAAGGGATCTTGCAGGGAATCCTTACCCAAGGATTGAACCCACATCACTCGGGTCACCTGCATTGGCAGCTGGATTCTTTACCACGGAGCCACCTGGGAATCTAGTTGGAAATGTAGAAGAGATTAAAATGGTCAGTGGTTGCCATGGGTTGTAAAGCAGGGGCTATGAATATCATGCGTTCAGGACCATGAAGTCATCCTGTGAAACTGTTGTAATGGACACAAGTTATTATACATTTGCCCAGACCCTAGAGTGAACAGCCCTAGAAGAGAAACATAAGGTGAAACTAGAAACATTATTTCATGTCTTTCTAGATTCATCTCTGGTAACAAATGTAAACACTGGTGGGGAAATAAGTAGGAAGACTGTCCACGTATGGGAAAAATATGTATATGGGAAATCTCTGTACCTTCCTCTCAGTTCTGCTGTGAAACTAAATCATCTAAGATAGTGGTACTGGTGCATGGACAGCGATCATTTTTAGAATATATACTATTAAGAAAAAGGATATGCTCCTACCTTAGTTTTTCCTTAGTCAATTATCTTTTAAAGATGTGAAAAAATAGGACTCTCCATAAAGAGCAGAGAACAAACCGTAGCAGATGATTCATAAAGCCTAGAAATATAAACATGAAGTAGAGAAGCAACACTTTTCTGTGTTGAAGGTGAAGGTGAGTCGCTCAGTCCATGTCTGATTCCTTGTAACCCGATGGACTGTAGCCCGCCAGGCTCCTCTGTCCATGGGATTTTCCAGGCAAGAATACTGGAGAGGTTTGCCATTTTCTTCTCCAGTTGATCTTTCTGACCCAAGGATCAAAGTGGGGTCTCCCACATTCAGGCAGACTCTTTACTCTCTGAGCCACCAGAGAATCTGTTTTATGTGTTAATTTATGGGTAAGTTCACATCTGACTTAACACTGATCATTATGTCCTTGGTTAGTCACTGGATAGATTTTTGGGCATCATTTTCAAATGCATCTGTCCCTGCACATATAAATGTTAACCCAACGTCCACTGCTGCCCCTGCTTTATTCTCAAAGAAAGCTTTGATGGAAACACCTCCCGACTCCTGGTCTTGCTGTAGCAGACCCCTCACCTGAAGAGACTGGTCACAGTGCAAATCATTTTGTGCAAACCTGTGTCCCCAGGTTACAGAGGGGAGTAACAAACAAACCACAACTAAGGACTCAGGCCATGTTTCCTAGAATCCTGAGGGCAAAGCCTTGCAGGAATCCAGGGCCCCCAGGTGATTCCCACCAAACACTCACCCCTGCCCTCCCCTCCCCCAAGGGCACCGGCACAGGCCTTGCAGGGCCACACCCATCCGGGAAAGAGCTCTTCCGACGAGCTCCACCAGAGCCCCTGGCGCGCAGAGCGCTGGAGCCCACCCTGCAGTCCCTCAGGGGAGGGGGAGCGTCCACAGTCTCAGCACCAGAAGGCTCGTGCTCCTCAGAGGCAGACGGCAAACGTCCTTGTTGTTGGTCTTC